TCAATATCCATTACTATGAAATTCATGAGGCAGCAAGCAAAAAGGAAATCAGTTTTTGAACACTTTAGAGAACCTATACGAAAATTGAACATTGGTCGTGATAAAACCGTCTCTATTAGGATTCTTTACCACCACTTCTTCTGTTAATGCTATTGAATAAAATCAGGCCACACATTTATACCAAAATAATAACTTGTAAATTTTCAAAATAGTCACTCAGTTATGCCTGTTTTTAGTCATTTTTTAATCTTTTTTTTATTTTCCATGGAATAGCTTCTATGAGGCGGAAGTGCAAAATGGGAGGGTTGAAAAGTTTTCATTCATCATCTTTTTTTTTTTTTTGGCCAACCCCTGGGAAGGGGAGGGACGCCACTCCCAATTATTATTATAAAAACCACATCACATCAGAGCAAACTCTAGTCATTTCGCCCAACTCTAACACGAATTACAGGAGTACCTACACTATCTAAGGTCATAGCCTCCTAGTGGGTCGAGGGAGCTCCGCCTTGGAAGAATATAAGGTAACCGTCGCCTCTCGCGCCCCCACCTTCGCCAATGCATCCGCCACCTGATTAGCTTCACGATAACAGTGGCCCACTGTCCAATCCAACCAATGGCTGACTGGATATCTCTTTGAACTAAGTTGAGTCTTGAAAACACTAGTAATGTACCGTTATTTGAAATCAACGTATGATTTTAGGAAAATTTGGCCCTTCAGTAAAAATGCAAAATTGTTGGTAATTTGTGGATTGATGACAGGTTGTCGAGCTTGTGCAATAATAAATACCTGCTCAAACAAAATATAATTTTTGTAGTTAGTAATAAGTAGGGTCGAATTCACAGGAACTGGGGATATTTGTTCTTTGAAATTCAACTAATAAAGGGTTTTTTTTTTTATAAAAATGGTAATAATTAAATGGTTCAAATAAATAATAAATACCAACTAAAAATTAAATGACAAATTATTAAAATCAAATTAATAATAACAAGTTCTAGCCAAGAAATAATTTCAACAATGGTTCACCTAGTTGATCATCGATGCAAAGGTAATTCTAATTATTAACTAATAAATAAGTTATAACTGCCGAACAAGTAATTACAATCAATCCTCCTTACTGTGTCAGTGATTAAGGTACGATCATTAATCATTACTCTAATCGAGAAATAATCTTTGGTATGACCGTAAGATTTAATTCTCCAATTGCCTTATGTATTAGAGGAGCCTATTCTAATCAAATAATACACTACCAGGGTTATTTTAGATTACCCGCATATTCCCCTGACACAAAACCAATCATGCCAATTGCTCCTATTTTAGAGTAATTAAACAATTACGGATTTAAACCTCGATTGACATTAGATTGCTAAATTAATTCAATATCCAGACCCAAGATACTCAATTAATAAAATAATCATAAGCACTACAATCAGAAAATATGTAAATACTAGTAAATAAGAGGAATAGATAAAATTAATTCGTTCTTGCAATTTTTAGATGAACCAAAACCTCTGTTGCTCTTTGAATAGAAAAAGATATTTAGTTCATTTCCGTCGAAACAATCTCATGCAATATTGCAGAGTCCATTATCGAATGCTTTTTCTTCAATTACGATGATGAAATTGATTGAATAGTAAAAATAAAAAGGACAACACAAGAGCTAGCCGTCTCCTAATTGAGATGATGAATCCCCAATGGAACCAGACAATAACAAGTCTATCTTTTGCTTATTGCGGCCGGCTCTTGAAAGCTAGTGTAGTTTCCTAGTCTCAATTGACTTCTCTCGTTTGAAAACTACCAAAAGAAGAAAAAAGGAGAGTCCAAGAAGATAGCTCCTAGTCTGCCGTATTGTGACCATCAGATAAGGAAACAATCTTAACTTTTTATTCCATTTCCTACTACTACTCAGTAGGACTGTCAATGGGGTTGGGCCAGCCCGAGCTCGACTCGTTCGGCCCGACAAAAAGCCCGATGAGCCCGATCATTTAGTGAGCCGGTCTGAGTCTGAACCTAAAAATTAGGCTCGAATTAAATGTGAGCCGAGTTTGGGCCTTATTAGGCTCAAGCCCGATATAGGCCCGACCCTTTAATTACTATATATATAATATTTATATTTTGATATTATGTATAATTATATATCCAAATATATTATTACTAAATACTAAATATATACATAAATTACAAAACACAAAAACACATCTAAAAACTCTTTCATAAGCTTTCTTGAGAGCCAATATTGGTAATGCATAACTAAATCTCTAATTTTCTTATTGGTTGAGTAAATTTTTGTATTGGCATAATATTGGTTGATTTTTTTTTTTGTTTACAAACACAAAAATCATCAAGCATATTTGATTTAAATCACAAGATTATAAAAAAAGTTTCAACTTTTAAAGATGTATTGGCTTATGATCGCATTTTTTATTACTATTTTTCATGCATTTTGAATGGATTAAATATAAATATTGTTGAAAAATTTTTGGTTTATATACGTTTTAAGAACTATTATTTGTTCATGTTTAGTTTTAATATTATAGTCTTGTAAATGTTAAATTAGTTTTACAACTTAATAGTTATAGTAATTATATTAAGAAAATTAAGGAGTAATAAGTGAGTTTGGGCTAAACCCGATTAAGGCTCACAACCGAATATTATGTGAGTTGAGTATGAGCTTCACATTTACGAACCCGAAACTCATAGCTCGAAGCCCGAAAATGATTCAAATTAAATGAGTTGAGTTTGAACTCATCAAAGCCCGGCTCATTAGGCCCAATTGACAGGCCTACTACTCAAACTCTTTTACTTATTGCCACAAGAATTAATCCTGTGTAACCCATATTCACCGAAGACATACGCCAGCAATTGTATTAGTTGGCAAAATTCGTGACCCCATTTTGCAACTCTGGATGTCCCGCATCAATTAGCAAATGTAGTGAGAAATTTTGCATCTTTTTATCATATTTTGTTCAAACTCCCTGCAATCAGCACAAATTTCCAAAAGTGAATAAAATTGCCAATAACTCACATTTGGTAAGATAATATGAGGAATTAATTACAAATAAATGATAGAATTGCGACCTATCAATTCCCCCACACCTAAACCATCTTTCCTCAGCAAGAGAACAACAAACAATACTAATTCCTGACAATGCCATCACTCCATTTACCTTATTTGCCAAGATATCGAGAAACACATATCAAACATTAATAATCAAAATCCAAGAAATATCACCCCAGTTAACTTCTAAACATAGATTTTTCTAATTTATGGCTAACTATTCTAAGAAAAGAGAATGGTCGATCAACATTTATCAGCAAACGTCCAACTATTAACCAAAATCGCAACATTAAACTCATAGATCAACAGGCTAACTTTAATCATACATTTAGACACACTTTCGCACTTTTTATCACGCTTTTCTTCTTCTTCTTTTTTTCAATAGTAGTAATAATGGACTTAGCCTCTAGCCACTAGAACCTTTTGATGTGAACTCTAACATTTATCAGATGAAGGAACTTGGTTACTCAACTCCTATCACTATAAAATCACTACTCATAGATATTACTACTATTAGATGCGAGAATTGACACTTTTGGTAAAGATCGCCGGTTACTCAATAGTAATAACTAGCGGAATACAGCTAACTTTTATTCACAACTAGGCAATAAAATAACTCAAAATATCACATAAAATAACAACAGCTAGCCTCATTTCCTCAAACATAGAGAACTAAGGTTAATAATTGGATCAAGTCACATGAAAATGCAAGAAGTTATTCCCTATGTCTAGAAAAGTTAACAAAAAATATTAAGAGTCACAAAATCATCGATATTCACCAAAGAAATGTTCCTGGACTTAACCAAATTAACTTGATACACTTGTATTACTAAAACTTGACAATAGGAGAATTATAGTCAATCAACCATCATCAATCCTTGTAATCATAGAAATGCTAATCACTAATAAAAATAAAAAGAAAAAAAGAACAAATAACAAGAAATAAAGGAAAAACATCTAAAAACTAAAAATACTGGCTGTACCACAGCTCCCCCCTTCCCCCACTTAGATCCGACATTATCCTCAATAGAGGTCATAAAGCAAATAAAGCAAGTAGGACAAAGAAACTTCTTTAATGAATGGCTATGGAATAGGTGGAATGGTGGAATGAAACCAACATGGTGGAAGTAGGCGGCCAAGTTCTGAGACATCAACGATATTCATCACCTGCTCATCCACATGGTGAATATGTACCCGAAGGTGTCGCCACTCAGAATTAGAGACTAGCGGTGGAAGAGGCACAGAAGAAGAGGTCCAGCTGTATTCTCGGCCGATCTAGGGGCAGAAGATGCGTCGATCTGGTGCTCGAATGGGACCGAGGAGTGTAAACTGAAATATGCATCAACCTCCTCTACAACGCCCATCTTTTCTAGACCAATCGCATCTCTTCAGTAGTAAGGAACCGAGTGTAAATCAATCAATAAACAAGTAATTACACTGCACAAATAAACAAGTTAATACAAGATATAACAAGTGTAAATCACAATTCTTTCCTCTTCTTTTGTGAAAGTTTACTCTAGAATTTTCTGTACTTCTAATGTGCATTCGTACCACACACACGTCATTAGAAAATTGAATCGATATATATATATATATATATAAGGTCCTGGTTTGCAGAACTCTTTTTCGATTATCAAGGTATAGTTGGTTCGCTCACTCTACGATTCTTGTCATGCTTGAATACTGGTCATTTTTTGTGCGCTTCCTGTCTATGGTAAATGGCAAAAAGAACAACAAGCAAAGAAACAAAAATGCACTCAACGCTACTGACTTTCATTTAATTAATTATACGGAACGCTTGGTTGAAAGAAGAACTGCATTTATTACATATCACACATTATACGGAACGCTTGGAGAAAATTAGACCAGCTAGAAGACATATATGTCCGTAGTCCATTCAGAGGTAAAGTTGCGGCTTCCTGGACATTAATTATCTTTCACCTCCTTAGACTCAGCGTGGTTGCCTTGATAGTGATAGAGTAGTAAGGAACCGAGTTTCGACTCAAAGTCTTTCATAAGAGGTTTCTCTTCCTTAGACTTAGACTCAGCGTGGTTGCCTTGATAGTGATAGAGTAGTAAGGAACCGAGTTTCGACTCAAAGTCTTTCATAAGAGGCTTCTCTTCCTTATACTTAGATTCAGCGTGGTTGCCTTGATAGTTATAGAGTAGTACTTAACCGAGTTTCGACTCAAAGTCTTTCATAAGAGGCTTCTCTTCCTTAGACTTAGACTCAGCGTGGTTGCCTTGATAGTGATAGAGTAGTAAGGAACCGAGTTTCGACTCAAAGTCTTTCATAAGAGGCTTCTCTTCCTTAGACTTAGACTCAGCGTGGTTGCCTTGATAGTTCCAGAGTAAGGAGCCGGGCTTCGACTCGAAATCCTTCAATGTGTTACCATCACTTGTCTTCTTCTGATTGGAAAGGGACAACTCTGCGTGGTGATTGTCCTCAGTATGCTCATTAATGACAGCAGATTGCAAAGAGTCCGTAGGATTCTTCCTTGCTTCCGTGATGCATGCAAACTGCACATTAGTGCAAATATTAACATAAAAGAAACTAACGTCAATATAGGTACGTTGATGGTAGCACCGTAAAAGATGACCCCCCTTGAAGGGAAGGATAGTTAATGTCCAAACACGAGCTCAACTGGCAACAGGAATATTCCTTTGTTGATTTTAAGGTTCTTGATTTGACTTTCAATCTTTCCCGGATGAATCCTCTAACTAGAAAATGGTAAATAGTGTCATAATGCCATTACTCAAGTTACATTGACGTTTAAGTATGGTACCAGCATTGGTAATGTTTGGAAGTCAAGCTTTTATTAGAATAGAACTACAGAGCCATCTGAAGAGCTTCCATTCCTTCAGTGCGATGGTTAGAGCTGCAGATAAATGTGCAAAAAGGAAGAAGAATGTGTTTTCTCAGGTAGTTTTAATTCACGGTTTCATCAGTATTCCTATACAGTAGCAATTATATCGTATGAACTACTACTTCAAGTACAGTATTGATGGTTGAGAAACATTACCAGGGCAATTGAAAAGACTGCGATCAGAGTGATAGATGAAGCCATGCCTTGCCTATGAACAGACTCAAAATGTAACTTTGGTGGTGAAAAGACTCTTGGGCCTATACGGCTATTTATACAAGGCGATAGCTAAGTGAAGCAGCAAGGTTACAGCATGGATCACGTGGCAGGTTGGTTTGCATCATGTGGGTAGGTCAACATTTTGGTCCCTTTTTTCTAAACAATCTACAGTTATGGTCTAAAATAAATTTAGGGTACGTTTGGTTCTACAGAATTATAATTGAATTAGAATTGAAATTCTATAGAATTGGAATTCTATGAATTGAATTCCAAATCATTTCAATTCTTTCGTTTGGGAAATGCATAGAATTGATACGAAATTTATTTGAAATTCCAAATTCTTTGTTTGTATGAGAGAAGAATTCATTAGGAATTAGAATTGTTCCAACTAATATTTCCTTACATAAAAAATTTCTTTTTTTACTATATAATAATTTTTAACATTTAGCTAATTGTTACTAAAGCTTTAAGGAAAAATCAATTAGTACCTTTAATAATTTATTTTTTCTTGCATTTAACTAATTGTTAATAAAGCTTTAAAAGAAAAAAATTAGTTCCTTTTTTGCAAAAATAAAAAATTCTTTTTTAAAAAAAATTAAATTATATTAAATAAAAAATAAATGTATATTCTAACTTAAAAAGTAGTTAATATTTATCGAGTTAAAACCTTGATACTTTTTTAAACTTAAGAACTTTAAATTTTAGAAAATCAAAGCCTACTCTATGATATGAATTGGAGGAAAGTCATAACTTGTATCATATAAATATTTGTTTTGTATCTTACAAGAAATTTCAATACATGAATACGCAAACAAAGTGTTTTTAGCCAAAAAAAAAAAGAGAAAGAAAAGCACAGTTATACATTGCTACTATTTTTCAATAAATGGCCATTCTAATATTAAATTAAGTTCGAATAAATTCCTATCAAATTTCAACTTCCATGATGGCCTTGTCTAATTTGATAGTCAATAAACATTGCTCGTGCTAAAGCATTCCTAAATTGTGTCCACTCGCTAGTTGGTTGTACCGTTCGAATTCGATTCTCGTTAACAGCATTTACACCACCATCATTATTTGGACCATCATCTTCCATTCCATTTTCCTCATCTTCATCTTCCATTTTCATCTTCATCATCAACCTCATGTTGTACTCTTCGCATCTCAGCATCAACTTCATCCAAGTAAGGGTCATTTGGTTGTTCTACTCGAATAAGATTATGAAGGATGGCACATGCATTAATTATCATGACATGAGTCTTAACATCAAAAAAAGATGCATCTCTCAAAATGCCCACCGCTTCTTGAACAAACCAAATGTCCTTTCAATCACATTTCGAGCAATTGAATGTCGAAGGTTGAATAACTCTTTTAAAATTTGAGGCTTGCTCCACTAGCAGACCACTCGCTAAGATGATATCTAACTCCCCTATATGGAGCTAAGAAACGGAGCTATTTGCATAACCCCGCATCAACAAGAAAGTACTTGCCTGTAATGTTAGACAACAAATTATTACTCATTTATAGTTAAAAGAAAAAAAACACTTGATATCTAATTGTCACATACCCTTGGGAACAATTAATGGATCTGATCTAACTAACGCATCCCGTAGAACTCTACTATCTGCTGCAGAACCTTCCATCCAGGCAATACATATGTAAATCTCATGTCACGGGAGCATACACCTAAAAACATTTGTTGCTATCTCATTTCTTCCTATTCCTATATCTTCCTTGATCTCTAAGAAGAACATGTACTTAACATATAAGTACCGTCTAACGCTCCAAGACAATCCTGTATTATAAACAAAATATCATAAGTTGATGAATCTTGTAGATATTATCTTCATTAACAAATATCAAAAAATATTGATTACCTGAAACCATTCCACTTTTCATGCTCGTAACCTTCCATTTCCGTTTCAGGCTGGATAAGATAGTGTCTCCCCAATTTTATGATAGCACATAGAACTATATTAAAGTATCGACTAAACTGTCTCACCTGATCTTATGAAATTAAAATTGACAGTGCGATTCTTAAAGTTATGAGCAAGAACATAGAGAAACATTGCAACTGCTTCTTCAACAGTAATATTTCTAGTATCCCTCAACCCACAATGCTCTCTTAAATTTGTACATAAAACAGTAAAACAATGTTTATTGAGTCTAAGTTGCTCTACACAAACTCTATTGTTTCCATAGTAAAGACGCCTTAGATATATTTCACGTGCTACTTTAAAGTCCAAGTAAGGCTCCTTTACTATATGTTTTCTCATGCCACCAAACTACTAATGTGGCTACTGTTACCATATAATTTGCAACTACCACTTTTCTCTTTTTTGTTTTTTGCTCGTCTCTTTCTTATCCATGTCAATATCCAAATTCTGCAATTCAAAATCACGACAACAATAAGAAAAGGTAAGTCAAAAGACCAAATTTTTAAAAGTGAGTGTGTTAAATTCTACATAGTCAATTGAAGCTAAAATGATAGCTAATGAAACCTCTGACATAATAATCTGCAATAATATTTTTGCCTTTCCCGAAATATTACATTTACAGCTTGTGAATACAACTATTGACAGAAACAAATATATTGGCTTATACACCTTTAATACTTTAGAGATCGCTTAGGAATTAGCTACAATTTTGTAATTCATTAGTTTGTGCAAGTTGTTGGTAAACATAATTATTAGCTTCTGTGATTCATTGCTATGATCAGGTTAGTGTTTCAATTTGGTACTGCCCATTTTGCCTTGAAAAACAAGCTTGGGAAACTATTACACTCAATTCTGTGAGTTACAGAACAAAAGATTAATTATCTTCCCCTTGAAACTCCTCTATATATGTGTGTGTGTGTGAGATAAAGATAGCTATTTACAATTTCCTAACTAGCAATGAATTGCAGGGAAGGCCAACTTTACACCACATAAGCTTTAAAATATGCGTAACAATTGATTATATACAGAAACATACACCAAAGAACTGCAGGACAACTGTAGTATAGAACTAAAAATTCGCTCTGTCAAAGTAAATTTGTGATTCCTTCTATGATTCTAGATACTAAGTTAAGAAGAGTAGAACTGGTTTTAAGAAGATTTTTTAATCTGACATTATCTTAAGAATAGATTCAACAGCCACTGCATTATAGAACTAAAAGTGAGAGGCAAATATGCACCAGAAAAAATCCATACATATGTTAAATGAAGAACTTATGCTGACTTATTTGGACGGAACCTTTTTGCAAAAGCAATTTGGAAATGTGCTAAGATCATCACTTATGTGCACAAAATAGTTTGGAGATTGACGGGTATTTTACATACGTGCAAGCTAAAAAATACCGAATTACACCCGTTCACTGCAAGTATACAGATCAACTAGTAGTTTAGGGTATATATCGGGTCGATCCCACAAGGAAGAGTGAACAATTACCGGTATTACTAAAGCTTCTCTATTATTTAGACTATCAATAATGATAAGAAATTTAACCTACTGCACTTATACAAGAAATTAACAAATAAAAGCTCCTTAGGTTGTGGTATCCCTAACTACTCATGCAAGTGTTATATTTGGATCATTAATACTACATCTAGGCTAATTATGGTGTAATTTCCTTATGCATTTGAATCCTACTTTCGTAGTGAATCAATTATACTTATAACTAATCCATACCTATTCTCATGGTTATGAAATTAGCTACAAGTTCATTTCTTCAGTGAAATTACATGAAATGAATCACTAAAAACCACATAGGTGCACCTCTACTTTCGTGAGTGTACTCCCTATGTTTAGCACTTCTTGAACTAATGTTAAATCTCAATTTTCATTGTAGAAATAACACCTTAGATAATCACAATTAATGGTACCAGATTAATCATGATTTAAAGAGCCAAAGTGCTAAATAACTTGCTCAAATCATAGCAATCAAATAACCAAATAATAAACACTAACAATATAGAAGTTCAACCAAACCCAAGGTATAAACTTTAGAGACACATAAATAACATAAATCCAGAACTTGTATATTAACTAAACTTGGAATCAAATACAAAAGATAAAGAGTTGGAAGGAATAACCCTTGTCACATGAGCTTTCCTTGCCTTCTTCATCTCCATTTTCATCCTAATCTAGATAATATACAAGAGTGGATGAACTACACTTACTACACTATCTAACACTAAGAAATGGAAAACTACATTTCTGCACTCCAAGCTTCTCCCGTATATTCTGCATGTCCTGGTTGCTCCCTATATAAACTGCTCCAAAAGCTCCTTTTCCATTGGTCCAAACTTGCTGCATTTGATTTCCAAATCTGAAATTGTTAAGATAGTCAATAGCATTGTTTTGACTTGAAAATATGCCAACTTCTTGCCCTTTTGTCTCTAAGCATGTGCACCGAATCTCTTGCAGATTGTAGCTGGAAAGTAGTCAGAGCACAAGAGAATTGACTGAGCAAAATTGCAGAATTGCGGCCGGAAACGCGCCTACACAAAACGCGGTTACAAGTCACGTTTTGTGTACTCGCGTATTCACTTGTCCTTACTTCAGCTGCATTTTCTCTATCATAAAGGCTGAACTGGCTTTTTTGTAAAACACCAAAGTTGTAGCCCTTTGAGTTAGCTTTCCAATGCTTCAAGAATCATCCAAACTACTTTGTAGCCTGAGATATGATCGAAATACTAAACACTGGTCAGAGCTCTGTTTTCCACTTTGACAGCTGAGTTGAATTTCGGTATTTCAACTTTTGGACTATGAAAACGGCTGAATTGGACTTTGATGTCTTCATACCAAATGTAGATATATCTCTTAGCTTCAAAATGGTACCAAGATCACCTTGATCCGATCTGTGTAGCTCAGATATAGTCAAAATACCAAAACGTGTCAGAGTTGTCAAACCTGACTTTTCTTGATTCAAATTGATTTTCCTTTTACACTTCATATTTTATTTTCACCACTTTAATCCATCTTCAATCATCCAAATATCTTCTCAATACACTTCATTTGATGATTGAATCATTAAACTTACAAAATATGAAGTT